TGATTGATTGATTGATTGATTGTCAGAAATGGTGTAGGGTCTCCTGCTTGAGCAAGGGGTTGGACTAGAAGACCTCCAAGATCCCTTTCAACTCTTCTCCGATTGATTTAGCTACCTATATGCGCTCTTACCTGTCCGCTGTTTACGGCAGCGTGCTGAGCTGAGCAGGTATAAATCACCATAGTCAGGAATTTTTTGACTTCTTCCACAGTGCTGAATGAAGAAGGGATCCCTGGGAAGGAAAAGAGAAACACGCACCAATCATGAATAATAACAATCGTCTGTAAGGTATACTAGGTCAGCTAAAGCGGGTGAGATGTTTACCAAATGGTGCAACTACAAATGGTTGCAGGAACTGGGCCTGGCTAGTCTAGGGAAGAGAAGGACCAGGGGAGACAGGAGAGCATCTTCCAATATTTGAGGGGCTGCCCCAGAGAGGAGGAAGGGGGTCAAGCTATTCTCCAAAGCCCCCGAAGGCCAGAGAAGGAAGAATGGATGGAAACTGACCAAGGAGATTCAACCTGGAATTAAGGAGGAATTTCCTGACAGGGAGAACAATCAACCCATGGAAGAGAAGTTGCCTTCGGAAGTTGTGGGAGCTTCATCCCTGGAGGCTTTCAAGAAGAGACTGGACTTCCCTCTGTCAGAAATGGTGGAGGGTCTCCTGCTTGGGTGAATGCGGGTTGGACTAAATGACCTACAAGGTTCCTTCCGACTCTGTTAATCTAAATCTAAAACAAACCCCCAAAACTCCTTTGGGCCAAGTTTGCCCTCTGAACAACGGGGTGGGTTTGCAGGGGTGGCATTGGCATCGGGCACCAGGGCCGAATCCCTCAACTGACGTCGGTAGCGGCATCAAGCGGCTGAAATCGGAGCCCGTGAAAATTCCAGTCTTGGCAGGGAGTCCTTATTGTTTATCTTCTGGATTCCTGGATGGAGCAAGGGATTTGCCGCATAGGAATTCCAAACGGTGGTTTTGAATATATTAATCTACTGTCTCTGCCTGCTGAAGTGAAGTCAGGGTGGGTAGTCCTCGACTTACGACAGTTCGTTTAGCGACCGTTCAATGTTCAAAAATGCAAGTAGTCCTGGGAAGACTTCAGGATCCTCGTTGCCGAGCAGGCTGCGATAAGTGACTCCCCCCCTCCCACAGTGCCATTCTAACTTCGAACGGTCACTAAACAAATCCCTGCCACTGGAGGGGTTATATACCTGCCCTTGGGAGAAAAAAAAATGCTGGATTCTTCTCTTGCTAAAAGATGCTTGTGCCTCGTTTTATGCTTTGAGTCCCCCAGCTCTCGCCTTGGCTCCTAAGCCACCCTTCGCCTTCAGCCAAGAGGTTCTTGGCGGGAGAATTCGCAACAGGGGTGCAAATTCTCAATTTTTAACTACCTATTCTGTGGGCGTGGCCTATTTTGAGGGCGTGGCTTGGCAGTCATGTGACTGGGTGTGCGTGGCCAATTTGTAAAACGTGAAACTCACTTAATGCTCTTGCATAGCAACCAAAATTTTGGCCTCAATTGTCACTGTAAGTTCTCTTTCTTTTCCTTCCTTCCTTCCTTCCTTCCTTCCTTGTGTCTCTCTCCCCCACTTTCTTTCTCTTTCCTTTTTTCTCTCTCTCGTTCTCTTTTTATTTCTCTCTCTCTCTTTTCTCTCTCTTCCTTCCTTTCTCTTCCTTCCTTTGTCTCTTTCTTTTTCTCTCTCCCTTCCTTCCTTTCTCTCTCCCTCCCTTCCTTCCTTACTCTCTTTTTTCTCTCTCCCTCCCTTCCTTTCTCTCTCTTTCTCTTTCTATCTTTGTCTCTCTCTTTTCTGTCTCTCCCTCCCTCCCCTTTTCTTTCTTTCTCTTTCTCTTTCTCTCATTGTCTCTCTCTCCCCCTTCCTTCCTTCCTTCCTTCCTTCCTTCCTTCCTTCCTTCCTTCCTTCCTTCCTTCCTTCCTTTTTTCTTCGCACGTGAAGCGAACACGCGTGCAAACGGGGCCACCCGGTTCTTTCTGCTGCTCCCCAAGCGAGCATTCCTCCCTCCCTCCCTCCCTCCGCCTGCGCGCGGGTTTGGCACTTTGGCCACGCTCCCTAAAAAGCCGCCTTCCCTCCAGCGCTTCCCAAGGCCCCGCCCCCTCTCCTCCTCCACTCCCTCCCGCCCTTCAGAAGGGAGGGAGGGAGTGGGGCGTGGCCAAGGCCTGCGCCGCCGTTGCTGTTGCTGGCTGCCTGTCGCGCGCTTCTCCCTCGGCCTCGGAATTTCTCCCCGCTCCCTGGGCGAAGGGGGCGACGATGCCTCAAGATGGCGGAGGCGGCTGAGCTGAAGGTAGGCGGGAGGGGGGGGGAGGGAAACCAGAGGGGCGGGACTACAAAGCCCATCATCCTCGGGGAGCGGGGGCCCGAGAGGGCGGGGGAGACGAGCCCGGGGGGGGAATGAGGAGAGGGGGGGAAATGCGGGTTGGAGTCGTGGGTGGGGGGCTCGCACCGAATTTGGGGAGGGGGCTGCAAAGGTCCCAAGAGGGGTGGCAGGATGTGGAGGGCAAAACGGTGTTGAGGGAGGGAGGGGGGGTCCAGGGAAGTTAAGTTTGGGGAAGGGGGGCTACGAATGAGGCGGTGGGGGGGAGTCAATGGGGCTGGGGTCCCTGAATTGGGGAGGGGGACAAGGGGGGAGAAAAGGGGGCTGTGGGTATGGGTGGATTGGAGGGGGGCAGAGGGGTGAGTTGTTGAGGGAGGGGGATCCAGGGAGGTTAAGGTTGGAGTGGGTGAGGGGACTGCAAATGGGGATGGGGGTCATCTCTGGAGCTGGGGTCCCTGAATTGGGGAGGGGGGGAAAGGGGAAGATGGGCATGGATGGATTTGACCAGAGGGCCCCACAGATGATGAGGGGTGAGTTGGGGGGTGAATCCAGGGAAATTAAGGCTGAGGTGGGTGGGGGGCTCAACTCTGGGAACTGGGTTCCCTGAATTGGGGAGGGGGAGAAAAAGGGGCAGTGAGCATAAATGGATTTGACCAGAGGGGCCCACAGATGGTGAGGGGCGAGTTATTGGGGGAGGGGGATCCAGGGAAGTTAAGGTGGGTGGGATGTGTGTGAATGGGGCAGTTGGGGGTGTCAATGGGGCTGGGGTCCCTGAATTGGGGAGGGGGAGAAAAGAGGGCATTGGGCATGGATGGATGTGGCCAGAGGGACCCCAGATAGTAAGGGATGAGTTATTGTGTGTGTTTGGGGGGGAATCCAGGGAAGTTAAGGTGGGTTGGGGGGCCATCAGTGGGGCTGGGGTCCCTGAATAGAGGAGGGGGAGAAAGGGGGGATTAAAATGGGGCGATGGGCATGGATGGTTTATCTTCTTAAATCTATCATCATTGCCAAAAAAAATTCTTCTGTATCTTGGAATTTTTGTTGCTAAGTGAAACATTTGTTAAGTGCGTTTTGCCCCATTTTATGACTTCTCTTGCCAGGGCTGTTAAGTGAATCATTGCATTTGTTAGTGACAGTTATTAAGTGAATCTCTGAATTGTCTTTGAGTAAGGTAGTCCTCGGGTTTACGACCACAATTGAGCCCAAAATTGCTGTTGCTAAGTGAAACATAAGTGAATTTTGCCTCATTTTAAGACCTTTCTTGCCACAGTTGTTAAGTGAATCACTGCAGTAGCATGGTTGTTAAGTGAATCACTGCAGTAGCATGGTTGTTAAGTGA